CGCATGAATATCATACGGCTATGCCTGTCTCTTATACACATCTAGATGTGTATAAGAGACAGTCTCCATCCCGCCATTACTTCATACGGGGAGCCGTGGCACATCTCCATACGGCCGCTACTTCATACGGGGAGCCGTGGCACATCTCTATGCCGCTACTACTTCATACGGAGAGCCGTGGCACATCATACGGACGCTACATCATCTCTACACTTGCTACCTTGTAGCAGCCTACCTGTTCTTCCATAGGCCCAACTGCGGTAAAGCCACAGCCACTCAACCGATCGTGACGCACGACGTAGTGAAAGAAACACAATAAACGATCAATCTCCAGACGTCTCACTTATAGATATTCAAGAGACCGTCTCGAGACGCTGTCTTCAAGTAGAGTGGTGCAGGTAATTAGGAGAAGGAATATTGCTTTGCTTGAGAAAACTGATATGGTGTTAGGGAGTCATTTGTACCCTGACTTACAAGTCGCTCTTTGATGGATTCATTCCAATGTGAATGGTAATAATGTACTAAACTGTGTTCGTGTTAACGTCAAGACTGGAGCCTACGTACAATAGTGTATGAACTACATTAGCGTGAATGAAAGTATTCCATCGAGGTGGGTTTATGCCTTTGTAGGAAATATAAAGCTTGCTTCGCATCGTATAACCAACCACTAAAAAATTACATTTCTAGATCGAGTGTTTGTTCCGAACGTGCATTCCTTTTTCAAACTAGACTCATACGTAGGTTAACCAGTACTTGCATTTTCAAGTAAGTAGTTTCGATTCCATTATTTATTTTTCTAAATGTGATTTTAGCCAATATTTTTGTCGATTACTGGCGATGAGAGATGAACTTCAAATCGATTTTATCATAAGAATTTTGTTACCAAAACCTTTGGCAGTAAATTTGTCACGAAATACAGAGAAATTCATTCGCGTCACCGTGAAAACCGCATTCATTTAAGCGTTTCATCTTTTTGAAAATAGTACTTTTATTTTAAAATTTTATAACCTTACTTATAGAAATTCATGAACAACAATGTAGATGAGCGAAAAGTTTTAAGACCATATTTCGTCATCAATTTTAACCTTTATTAAAATCGATCCGGAACCCGCTTACAATCAAAACAAATGTACGAACGTGAACAATATTCACGTGACGATAAAGCGTTCAGTGCAGTACATGCATGGTATCTAATTTCTCAGCGCCAGCGGTCCCATTACCACCAGAACTAATGCGCCTGCATCCCAACAACTGTCGTTTCAAAAATCTGATTAAAATACTTAAGACCAGCTAGTCCTACACGAAAACATATTTTGGGAACTTAAAGAACAAGAATTGTTTAACATAAAAATAAGAATAAATCGCACGCTGGCTGGGTAATAGCCGTATCGGCAATGCTTCATTATTCTTGAGCACGTCTAAACGGCTTCTGAATTTTCAAGCTCATCAGATTAAAGAATTAAGTTGAAGAAAAAATGGAAAAAATGGTAAGCGCATAGACGAAGGCTTGAAGTTTATAACTTTTATTTCTAAACAACAAAAAAGCTCGTAAAATAGTGCATGGAATAACTCACCAACGTATCTTATAGTCGCAGTTGTGAGTTGACTAATGGAACCAACTTTAAAGTTCTCTTTGTGATGTTCTGCTTATATAATTATACTGGTTAATATTATCCATGCCACACTGTGACGCATTTATCCCCCACAGTCGCGTTTGTATGAGTAGCACTATTTTTTGGTAAAATCATTGCGACACTATCACATGCATTGACGTATCCAAGGGCCAGTTATTTTCGTAGGTATTTCGACAGCCAAGGAAAAGTGAAGACTCCATGTAGTACGCAGTTCGCATGATAAGTCAACGTGCAGATTTGTCTTTTTTATGTGACCTTAAAGAGGATTCAAACCTAATTTCCATAGTCCAAGCAGTAATTGAGACTCACCATTAAATATAACATATACCAAACTGAACAAATGGACCAAGAGACTCAAGAGGATAAGGCTCGTTATCCCAAATTCACGCACGCCATGGGATAGAGCTCGACAGCAATTACACACACCACCTCACTGTGCCAGGGCAGGTTGCCCACTGATAGCTGCTGCCTGCTGCTGATCGGCCAGTCAGTCAGTCATTGGGTGGCTTGCTGGCACAACTGCCAAGTTAAAAGGACAACGAGGCTCGAGAGTGCATTGGGCTCCTGCATTCATTCTCTCGCAAGTAAGACACACAATATCTTTGCTCACACTGCGATCATACTAAACACACCAATATTCTTGCAATAATAGGGAAACTGTAACGCCATTATTTTATGGGCATCAGCCGTTTATTTTCCGACCACAAAAAGCTCCTTCAAGTGTCACGTGACTCTGGTGACGTCTTCATGACTTGAATATTCTTACTATGAGATGGGAGATCCCAGGACTCATCAACGCCAATAGATGGAAAAAATTTTTATCTATACTCGTATATTCATACCAAAATTTCTGGAGTTTCATGCCCTGCATGAACTAAAGTGGCATGTTCTCGGCATCTTGCAATAAAGGGTGAATAGCTATTTAGGATATTTTATTTTGTCTCTATTTTGTTTTGTATTTTGTCCGCGACATGCCGTTAATTATGGAAGGCAAAGACTGAGAATAACGTTGAATAGCGTGCCCTGTTTTATTTCATGTCTTTTTCACTAAGGCAGAAGGAAGTGGAAAAAAACGGCACAAATAAATAAAGTTCACATCTTACCAATAAATATTTTGAGACATACTACACATATAAATTCCGAAATGCCTCAGCTTTCATCTCCGTTGTATGAACTGAATAAAACGTGGGTTTTTATCGTGCAGATAATTACTTCTGAACCGTCACACTCAGAAAAATGAGAGTCTTTGTCCAAATATCAATGCACTTATTGCCTTTGTGTTGGCTATCCAGACTCATTTTTGCCGATCAAAGGGACGTATCAGTGATATATACAGGATTGTGTCACTATTTGGACAATGTGACCCACTCATTTTTTTAGTGCATCCTTCGTTCATGTTAGCAACTCTCATCAGACGTCACGATGTGAGCGCGTGAACCTCCTCCCTGGCATGCCTAAGCCATGCCATGGTATGCCACTGCAGTGATGCCATAGTATGCCACTGCAGTTTAATGCCATAATATGCCACTGCAGTAATGCCATAGTATGCCACTGCAGTAATGCCATAATATGCCACTGCAATGGTGCCATAGTATGCCACTGCAATGGTGCCATAGTATGCCACTGCAGTAATGCCATAGTATGCCACTGCAGTGATGCCTTAAACTACGCATTACTATTGGCATGTTCTATGTTTCACAGGTTCTTCGTACATTATGTTGTTTTAATCAACAATTTTTGGTCACAGAGTTACATTTTGTGAGGTATTTTTTAGCAACAAATGGAACTTTATCGCGACGTTCTGTACTAGTTTCAAGGTTCATTGAACTACAGGAACAATTGTGTTCGCGATGCCCAGACATAACGAACTCCTGTGCTCGAATTCGTGAATGAACTGAGGAAGGTGTGGGATTCTCGTTTTAATCCATAATGATAAAAGCTTCGCATAATATTTCTCATAAAATAATTCATATCAATTCTAATCGATTAATAATTCATATTTATTCAAGCCTTGCTGACGGCGGGATAATATTCTGTGATCGATGGAAAGTCGGCGTTGTACATTAAATAAATTTTTATTCATGGTACTTCCCAAATGTAATCACTTTACTTATTTTTGTAATATAAGTGTCGAATTTTATTTTCAAGTTGCGTTCAAGATAATTTGTGCGTGGGTTCGTACTCGAATGAAATTTATGCGATATCCACGGATCAACGTTAGATAATAGATAGTTACCTTTGATCCTTCACCGATCAAAGGCTAGATCAAATTAATACTTTTTCCTTGTATGATCAGTTATCGGCATTACTATTAGTATTAGTAGTAGTATATATTAATAATGTTTTACATTATTAATTTTTAACTTAACTGTAATGTGCAGAGAGATGATGAGAAATGAATTAATCAAGATAAACCGCGATACATTGATCGTAAATTTCATGAAAGCTTGAGTTTAGTTGCTTTTCCTTTGCCTAACGATTTTCTTTGTATTCAGCTGACATTTCGTCAAACGTAGATTAATTCCATGTCGCTAGAACAAGTATCTCATTATAAATTTCTACTTTAAATTAGCAATGTCCTAAATCTTTCCTATATAGCGAAAGATATCAAAATTTGTTTGCGCTATCGTTTCAGCGAAGCCAAAATGCTATCAGCCGGGAACACACCAAGCGATTGGCAATTTTAAAAACATGTGAATTCCAGGGATTAACACATTTTTGAGCTGTACATTTTTCGTCTAAATAGCTTAAAAAACATTTTTCTGAGACACTCGCGTCTTCATTTTACATTAATTCGAATCACACTTGATGAGTAAAATTGTTTTTGAATTATTAGTAGGCTAGGAGTAAACTTTAGCCGTGTTTGGTCAATCACTAACTGAAACCTTGACTTTAGTTATTCTAGTTTAGCAGTTTAGTTTAGATAATACTAAAATTTAGTTGCAAAATTTAGTTTAGATAATACTAAAAATTCTTTATGACGTATTCCCTTTTAAATGTTTATGTCATGACAGGTTCTTTGCAGAAAAATTTTAAACTCTGTCATGGCATGTCATTTGGCGTACATTCTAAGCCAATGAACTGAAGACTTTTCGTTTTTAAACAATTTTTTGTTAAATAGCCTTGCATATTTGACACCGACAGAATGAAGCAAAAGAGTGAAAACTGCGTCTTTTTAATTATGGCTGTCAACAATGTTGAATTTGGAGTAATTTTGTCGGCCCCAAACTAAAAAAATAACTCGTTAATGTCTTTATTTCAAATAGAAGCAAGATGCTGCAGTACAAATATCCCAAAAGTGAGAGTTTTTTTTAGAAATTAATATCCTGAGAATACCCAGATGCACTTAGACTGCAGCTGCGCGAGATGCCGAATGCAGAAGCAGTATCGGGCGATGCCCACCCATCAGTTCCCTCGGACATGAGATCGTACGATGATCACACCATGGGCACGTGCTTGATGATGTCTGTGATGCATCCCACACTACTGAGACGTGGTGACTGCGTGATGTATGTAATAAAACAGACGGCATTATCACACGTATCAACTGCTTCATTGGGAATAAGAATCTTAATTATATTGCCCAAAGCAGATCGCATATCATCTCGAGTCCTCTCCTGAAACTGCTAATTCTTCCGTCAGAAGAAAAGCTATTCAAGGAGCAGGGATAAGGATTTTGGACTTGAGTGTCATCGCAATAGATTACTTTAAGCCAGAAACGGCTTCGGTCACTCAAAACTATACTTGTACAACATCCAGTTGTGCATTTGTATCAATGCCGCTATCAGTCGGAATTCTTGAAAAATGCCTACATCAATTTGAAGGTTATAAATATATGGCTATTTTGAAACTAAAAAACTTTTGTTTTGTGAAAATGTTCTATGAAAACTGGAAGTAAGGACTCAGCATCACTGTTGCTACTACTTTGGTTGATTAATTTGTGAACACGTTATTAACACAGTTTAAAGAACTAAAATTCATAAAGATCCATTAAATCGATTTTTCTGTTTGATAGTCAACTTTTTATTTTTAATATTACTAATAACTCTGTAGACTGTAATATTCTACAGAGAAAGTGACGCTAAACACCAACGGTCGGTTGCAACCGCGAAGCCTGTTTGCTGGCGCCATGCGCAGGTCAACCTTGACAATCCTGTTGCTAGGAAGCATTTATCTAAGCCAAAATTAGGACCAATCAGAAGACTGTTAATTTTACCCATGTATCTGTTCAGGCACTATCTCCGAGGCTCTCATTGAGTCACTGCAAACGTTTAGGTTTGTCTTAGTAACATTGCCAATGTCATGAAGGTATAGGCTATGTATAGTTTCTTCATGTTCTTCATGAAGCCTCTTAAATTCATTGGTTGCTGGGCTGGCTAATTTGCGCTGTCTACTACTAGAGTCCTGTTGTAAGTTAATTTATTTGATAAATTTCGCCAATTTTATAATTGAACATCGTGAATGAACTAACTGCTGCCAATTATTTACCTGAACTTCAAATTTCCGAGCAAAGCTTGCACCTGCTATGAAAATTTGTCCATAAGGATAGCTGTGCAATCGATGGGGTTAACTGCTTCAAAAATTAGTCGCCTGGAACTAGCGAAAAAAAAGGTTATTCCGCTATTTTTTCTAGCCAATAAAATTTTTATTCGGTAAATATTTGTGTAGATATTTGTATATAATTCTATAGTATATTCAGTTGAATATTATCATTTATTAGCTGAAGTTATTTATGAGAGATCTACAAGCCATTTTAGGAAGTTTTATTCAGCCGTTTTCAAACATCAGTAAACAGTGGTTGTTCATTTTTAGAAAAAAAACGAAGATAAGAGTGAGGAAATGCAATTTTTCTTCATTCGCCGTTTTTCTTTTACAACGGACAAACTCTTTGAAAATAACGGCTCTGCGGATGCCAACAATAACAAACGGTCCTGGTTTAATCTTGTAAACACGAAAGAAACAGAGCTCATTGGGTCGCCCGTAACGCGGCTAACGCCAAGGCCAAGCGTGAGTAAAAAGCGAGTGGCAAAATTGAAATGGCTGTCGAAGAATCTGTTAAATTATCATTACCTCCATTATATGAAGCAAGGAATTTTTGGGGAAGATTCAGGCATTTTGCTTCCATCACCGACTGGAGGCTCTGTTTTGTGCCAACTTCAAAACTATTAGAAGCAAGAAATTTGCTTCTAAAAAATCGGTAAGTAATAATTTTTTTCCTTATTAAATATGCCATATATATATATATGATAATTATGTTATTGTGCTACTTTTTATCTTCTAAATACAAGAGTATTTTAAAAATATCTGAAAAAGCATTTATTCATCCAGTTTTTTATTCCACTATTGGTGACATACTTAGTGATTACTGACACCATGACTGAGACAGACTATCACTATCAGTATGTTTTAAGCTATCAATCAATATACCTAATATATTAGTTTTAATAATTTTCTTATGTTATTAAAAAAAAATACATTGTTATATTATTGTCATGGCCGTGCCTTATTCATTATACCTTTCCATAAAAATATGCATTATGCAATTATTATATAATTAGATTAAAATTCCCAAAACTTTTTCCTGACAAATTTGTAAAAGAAAAATTGGATGAAAATAATTTTTTCCAGATCTTGGCTATGTGTGCAAGATATGAAAACTAATACTTTTTACTTGAATCATGAGGCTTCAACTTCAAAAGTATAGAATTTTTGTCAATTTATAATTTCAAAGCTGCAAAATCATATAATTTGCTTGACTAAAAGTTATCTTGCTTGTAAGTAGGGTAAACGCGGTATATTCCGACACTTTAAGGACGCATCGAAAAATGAAAAACTATAAAAAAAAACCGTATGCGTTACGTAAGTTCTGTTGCCTTCACATGACTCTCAAAACACTTCACTACGCGTCAGCAACGATGAAACGTCACAAAATGTTGCCATATTTATTAAAAAGCCTTTAGAATGGAAACCTACCAAATCCCTATATTCCATCATTTTGTGTGGCAACATCCGACACGTGGTGAGTCGTATTGCGTCAGCGCTTCAAATTTAACTGATTAGTTTACTTCTTTGCAGTCATATTAAGAGACAAATCTTTAACAAACTAATACTTTGTATAATTTTAATTGTTGAGTGAAAGCTGCGCCTGCAGCCTTGCTGGCACGCAACATTTCCAAGTGAGTTAGCCTACCTTATAGAAACTTAGCATACCCATACGTGTTTTAAGCCTATAAGAAGTTCATTTTTTTGCCTGAATAATGTTGTATCGAAAAACTGGTGTAGGTGTATCGGGAATAATATATGAACAGTCAATATTAGAATTCCATCCTGATGGACGGACATGACTAGCACAATAGCGCCTTTATTTCCATAAATGAGAAAATGCGCTAAAAAGATCTAAAAAAGTATTTATTTATCTATAATCTAGTTTTTTTATTCTGGTATTAGTGACACTGTGAGTGTGACACACTAACAGAATGTTTTAAGCAGCCAATCAATATTATATATTAGTTTTATTAATTTTGCTGCTGATATTAAAATAAAAATAATACCTACACCATTATATTATTGTCATGGTCATGCCTTATTCATTATACCTTTCCATAATAATAGGCATTATGTAATTATTTTACAGTTAGATTAAAATTACCAAAACCTTTTGCTGACAAATTTCTAATTAGATGAAAATAATTTTTTTAGAATTTGGCTATTTGCAAAATTGCATAATAGGAAAACTAATACTTTTGACTTGAATCATGATGCTTCAAAATCATATAATTTTGGCAAATTTAAAATTTCAAAACTCCAAAGTCATATAATTTGTATGACTGAAAATTATATAGCTTGTAAGTATGCATATTTTTATAGGAAAATTAAAACTTTTATGGTTAAGATTATATTGAAAACTTGATGAAATAAACTGATTTATCTATGAAATGACAATTTTTTCCTCTATCTGACTTTGTAACTGCAAGATCCAAATAGTAAGATCCTATTTTCCAATTTGATAATATTGCATTGATTTAAAAAAATAAAAAATGACTGAAAAACATATAATGACTGATTACTCTTCAGTTTGCCAATAAAGAACCTACTTACTATTACTGAGTTGTGTGGTCAGTAATTTTATCTAGTAACTGCCAGCATGCCATACTAATGCTAACTTTTTGGACAGAATTTTTGGAAATCACAGTTAAAATCTATTGTTTTATGGGTGATGTTCAGAAAGCTGAAGCAAAAATGAGCTGATTTTTTCTCTCATTTTTTTATGAAATAAATTGTGCACAGGCCATTTAAAATGGGTAAAGTTGACCATAAGCAAAGATTTTTTTTGTGCCTCTTTCTGGTGGTTGCTTCTGCCTGATTTTCCAAAACAAGCCTGCACCAAAAACAATATATTTTATTTTATAAAAAATTATGCACATTTCTCCAGCAAGATCAGTAATACTTCATAGTTATCATATGGTGACTGAACTATACTATAATACTGAAATAATTGTTATTCCCACTAATAAATAGTTTACATTGGCAAGAACAGTATTTGCTAAATGGCAACTTTCGTGTAATTTATGGTGAGATATTGCAAAGCCTAGAGGTGAAAAATTGTTTTTGAGAGTTACTCTTCAAATAATTGTAGTAAAAATATTCTATTTTAATTGATTCATTCTGGGTATATTACTTCACTCTCAGCAATTGATAATGGTTATATCATTGTTTTCATTTCCAATTGCTAAATTCTGATGAACTTACTACATTCAAGTGCTAATTAATCATGAAATATTTCTCATCTGTTTCAGTCCTTCCAAAAACATTGAGTCTGCTAAACTTCGCTATGCCAGCAAGCTATACAAATCGTCATTTCACCCTGACTCAGGCGAACTTCAGTATCTGGTTGGGCGCATGAGCTTCTAGGTACCTGAAGGTACACTGTTAGAAAAATTACCGTTAACGGTATTATACCGGCATTTCAGTGGCCGGTCGGCACGTGAAAAAAAGACCGTTTTGCCGTTTTTACTCTAATTTAACACTAGAAATCCGTAAAACATCTGATAAAACGGTGAAACAGTTTATTTTCACGGGGCGACCGGCCACTAGAACGCCAGTGGGACCGTTTTTTCACCGTTTTTTCTAACAGTGTATGCTGCTTACTGGGGCAATGCTTGCCTTCTACAGGTGACTAACAATCTAACCTGTTCCAAGTACATGTTTTAAACTTGCTTTTCTTGTTAAACCACTTTTCTTGTATGATGATGCAGAAAGCTTCTAAAAGCTCGCATTAATTTTAATATGAATATGTATGATTTTTTCATCAGGATCTGATAATAATGCTCTTGTGGGCAATGACAAACTTAGAACATGGAAGATGCCTATAAAATTGAAATTGAAAATGTCTTCATACTTGGAGGAAAAGGAGAAGCTCTGATAGAAAATTTTATTGTCACTTTCTCTATCAAAGGTCATAAAAAACACAGGATAACTTACATTTTAATTCCAGGTCAACACCAGCAGTAGTATTCTGGCAGTGGGTAAACCAGAATTATTTCATTATTTATTCATTATATTATTTAATTATATTATTATTAAATATATTAATTATATTAATTATTAATATATATTAATTATTCATTATATTATTTTAGAATTATTAATTATTTATTTCAATGCGCTTGTGAATTATACAAACCGCAATGCTGCCTCAGACATCAGTACCACTCAGCTTGGTCTTGCCTACACTAGTGCAACAACTGCAGCACTAACAACAGCACTTGGCTTGAAAAAATTTTTTGGTTCATTCAAAAAAATTTTTTTACTTCAGGTAGGACATAGGTCTTCAATTTTAACAAAGATCATTTGCTTAGAACATTATGTTACCTTTTAGGGGGAAGTTTTCATCAGTTTTTTAGGGATTTTTTTTCAAAATTTGCTTGCCTTCAAATCACTTAGGAGTCTTCTCCTAAATATTATCAATTAGACATGAGACTGCAGTTGCTAGATTTTTTATGTATTAATGAAATACTCTCACTAAGACATGTCACAAAATACACTATATTTCTAAAAAAAAACATTTGTAGTTTTGCTGCATTACCATGTCACTTCAAAACCCCTAGCATGCAAGTACAATCAACAAGTATGAATAGAATTCATGTATAGCAGATATTAAAACCTATACCGTAATAACGAAATGAAAGACAGTTGGAGAAGTAGTCATTTGGTTGATTTGTCTTGTATTTTAGGCTTTTCAAAATACAGATGGGGCTATTTTATTCCAAGGTAATTGAAAATTAAAACAATCAAATTATCATAAAGTTGTATAGATTTATTGTTAATTTGAGTCATCAGATACACAGTTGCCTGCATGGTATTCATATAATTTCTATGATGCAAAAAGTTCTGTAATATTAACAGGTCTCATTAATTTCAGCGATTTGTGCCGTTCATAGCAATGGCGGCAGCCAACATGGTCAACATACCGTTGATGCGACAGAATGAACTCATTTCTGGTGTTGCCTTGGTGGATGAAAATGGCAACCACGTTGGATACTCCAAGGTGAATATTTACTAAAATTTCAGTTATATTTCTACTCATTATTTATATTTTTATCCATTTGCATGTATTTAAACTTAATTAAATGGGATTGCTGATACTTATTATGCCAGCGACCTCTTATCGCATGCCATTCGACTTCTTATCGCACGCCATCGACCTCTTATCGCACGCCTTCAACCTCTTATCGCTCTTATCGCGCTTCATCGACCTCTTATCGCGCACCATTGACCTCTTAAAGCACGCCTTCAACCTCATATCGCATGCCACTGTCCTCTTATCGCACGCCATCGTCCTCTTATTTCAGGCACTAGCTAATTGATTGTTATTTTCACGTGACCAGCTTATCCTGCTCTGACGCGTGTAAATAACACCGCTTTCTCGTGAGTTACGTCGTCCTACCATGCCTCGTGCCCAGGTGGGCGCTGCTAAGGGCATTAGTGAGGTGATGGTGTTGCGTGTGGTGATGGCATGAGGTCCTTAACGTAAAGTTTACACGCATTACCGTGCCCAGGTGCTGCTAAGGGCACCAGTGAGGTGATGGTGTCGCGTATCGTGATGGCCGCGCCAGGGATGCTGTTGCTACCGCTGTTAATGCAACGTGTGGAGACGCTGCGGTGGTACAGTTACGGTGTTCCTGGGCACAATCCCAGTTCGACCTCCCCTGCAACACTACCAGCGGCGAGAAGCAAGCAACAGCATCGTGCATCAGGTGGCCCAAATGAGGGCGGATGAACGATAATCAGAGGCGGCGATCCATCGTGGCCTGGGACTGCTACGTCCCAAACAAGTACCAAGATACCATCGTGGCCTGGGACTGCTACGTCCCAAACAGGTACTAAGATAACAGGTAAACCAGCCCCTTCAGACGCTGCTGTGTGACGCCTATAGTGATAAACCAGAAATTTTTTAGAACCAGTTAATTTTTAATTTCCTAATTTTCTTAAGATTTAAACCAATTTCTTAAGTATGATAATGCTGGTATCCATGATATTTTACTGGTCTACTTATAGGACTCAAAAATGAACTTGAGGTAGAGTCTCAAAAACTCTCTGCTCTGCCACTATGGTCTTCAACTTGTTGCTTAAGGCAAATGACGTTGAAATAATGTTTAATCAACGTTTTTTTCAACGCTAAAACGATGTCACGTTTAAAAATGCTCGTTGTGTTATTCTTATAATTTTTTTGCATCGGTTCTTCAATAAGATAAATCGTTCTCATGTGAACAATATTCATTGTCTTGATTCAAATCTGTTCACTCATTACAATAATTCTTAATGATTGAAAATTTTTAAGAATAATTTTGCTCCTATGTGCAAGATTAATAAAATTGATGATGCACTTCTTACTTATAATTAATAATATGTAATTATAATTCATTATAATTATTGCATTTCCTCGACAGTTCCATTGAAGTTACGAGCCTCGAGAAGCTTGAGCCTGGCGCGTTTAAGGTATTGAGGGACTACCTTGGGTCTGAACGTCTTCCTCAGACCCTCTACTTCAACAAGGGTCTGTAAATCATAAGCCAGTGAGCTTAAGACCTCGGGGTCTGAACGCCTACCTCAGACCCTCTACTTCAACAAGGGTCTGTAAATCATAAGCGAGTGAGCTTAAGACCTCGGGGTCTGACTGCCTATCTCAGACCTTCTACTTCAACAAGGGTCTGTAAATCATAAGCGAGTGAGCTTAAGACCTCGGGGTCTGACTGCATATCTCAGACCCTTTACTTCCTTGAAGGTCAATAAATTAATTGAAATAACTAATCGCCAAGTTGTACTCAGAAATACAGCTTTATTTTTCTGAAATTCACAGAAAAAAAACTTCCTTTCAGGCTAAAATATGGCCATATTATGATATTTATGATATTTTTACATATTTAAATGGCCAAGATATTCTCTATTTCAGGATTTACTTCACCTTTGTTGGTAATATGGGTCATAAATTTAAATATAAGTCCATGCCAACGAATTTTCAACATTGATACCAGAATTATTGATGAACGCAGCAGAATCATTGGAATTTCTTTTTATTTTCTTATTTTCTCCCTTAAGCAAAGCATTAAATTCGTAATAATTTAGATCAAGTGAGTTCACATTATACATGTGAACTAATTATAGCGCAGCTATAATTAGTGAATTAGTGATTAGATTATATCGTGTAATATTTTTATATTTTTGTTGTTACGAAATTGAGACGTCATTCCGTATTACTGGTCCTCATTTAGCAGATTATGCGCGTTAAAACTTAAGTTTTAGCGCGATTATTTTTCTTTGACAAAGAAAAAGAGGAAAAGGAGCATCTGGCGTAAGCCTATGGGTATTTGTTCCATCCATGCAGAAATATTCTATCCGTTGCACAAATATAGTTGCACGTTTTGTATACTGTCACGACAATTGTTAATTTTTTATATTAGATTCAAACTTTTTTGTAGGTCTTTGATGAAATTCGTCTCAGTTATAAATTATTAGTAGTGAATAAGTAAAATTTTATGGCCTATTTTCAATGTATTTTTGAAAAACACTGAATTTGATCAGTGTTTTTCAATGACACTGTAGTTCCGCGATTCTGTCGCCACAAAGCGCGATTGCAACTGCTGTACTATGCAGTTTTTTTATTTTTAAATGACAAATAATTATTTTATTGTGTCCAATTTTTGGTTGTATTTTAATTTAGATAGATAACGTGATGTTGGTATCATGTATTGCTACGGTTATTGTTTGGATGGTGTTAAATTGCATAATATAATTTAGATTCGTTGTGCATTGTTATCAACTTATGCAATATGTTATGCATTGTTATGACTGCAACAGCAATATGACTGATTATATATTGAATCCATATTGAATCCAACATATATTGAATCCATCGTTGAATCCATAAATTCAAGATCAGCAATAAAGAAAACCATCATCGTTGAATCCTTCAGGGCAAGATAAACAATGAAAGGGATATGACTGTGCTGCTCTAGCCTATATATTACTACATTAGTTCGTCATCAGCACGTGTGATGTATAACGGAATTTTGCAATCTATGTTACGACAATTTTAAGAGCGTAATATTGCGTATCTCTTGTCACGTAAGTTAATAAAGTGAATGATTCTCGCACCGGGCGCTGCTTTAGTATGTGTAAAATTATCCTGTTTTGCAGAGCCGTAATCATAGCGTTGTCAGGGTTATTTTCAATGCTAGTTGCTATAGTAGATCTACGTTCCTTGAATCATAAATACGAAGTGGTGTAGTCTGCTGCTACGTGCACTAAGAAAGATGACTGGAACATATTGTTCAAATAGTGACACACTCTCTTACCCCTAGCGCGAGCAGCTAGCGGAAGTAGCACTGATAGAGGGGAGCGCAGCCGTGTACCACCAATTTTGTGCACCAATAAGCCTTGAATCCAACGCCTTGGATCTCTCAGACATCCACCAATCAGCCGTGCACCACTCGGCTTTGTCCTCCACCGGCCTTGACCACCACCTGCCGTGCACCACCAGGCCGCGGATCGAATATGACTTCCGGGCATCGTTAAATTACGTAATTTTACGTTCACCGCATCTGAGGTTAGGTTTCAGATAGCATAGTTCTGTTCCAAAATTTATCGTCCTTCGACAAGTGGCCGTTCGACCGAGGGCTGGTTCGACCCACGGCCTAGATACGGACGGCTTGAAGTGTTGAAGGCTACGTTCCGGAAGGCAGGAATCATGATGGTCCATTACATCCAGGGCAGTGGTGGTCTTCGGCAGGCAACCCCTGATAGAGGCCCTTTTGCTGAGATGCAATGGCTCAGGATGACCATTTAAGGGCAAAAGCTGCATTGCTGTTAGTACAAACTCTCACTAATTTCTCTGGGTGTAAATTTTCCATGAATTTATAGTCTATCATCTTTCCCAAAATCGACTAATGAACCCTTCAGTCGCCATTGAAAATAATTTAAATATTTGTTCATATAATTTAACTTAAGTTAAACCACGTATCTTTCCTACGTGAGCATTCCCAACAAGCTCCTTCTTAAGCTTTCCTGATTGTTGTACAAACAAAATTGTGCTGGTCTGGGGCCTGTGTTTTTAGTGCGTTCTTATTAGGTCTTTTTTTTTTGTATTTGTTGAGATAATCACACGAGAGATTTAGAATAGAATAGAATAGAAGTGTCGGCGTTGAAGAAATAGGCCCATGGCCTGTTGCCGATTCTTGAACTTTTCGTGACTTGATTCACAAGGGATCCGGCCTTTGGAACCCGATCTTTCCATAGCTGACGATTGATTGAGATAGCTGCTGGACTTATTGCATGCTCCGTAATTTGCTAGGCATTTTAAGACTGAACATATGCTCCTGCATAGCTTCGTCTAGTCTGTTCTTGAAGGCGTTCATACTCGGAGCGTCAACAATGCTATCAGGGAGGCTGTTCCACATGTCGGTGACTCGAAGCGAGAAGAAATGTTGTCGCATGGATGTGTTACAACGCTGTTTTTTTAGTTTTATCCGAGATTTAAATCATTTAAGATAAGGCCGTGTGCATTGGCCTAGACAATTTCAGAAGCCTTGACCTTGAAAGAATTGAAACTGATTCCCATCTCAAATTTTATTTCGAATCATTACTTTATTTTGTAGCAAGTTAAAGAGTTTCGAAGTTTATCAACAGTTATGGCATTTTTGTTTTGTGTTAGAGCTTTGTGTATCGTCTTTATCAATAAATCTTATGTAAAGTTAAGTCTTTATGTAAATCATATGCCTACAACTTTATGTTGCTTTATTTATATGTGGTAATCATCCGAATGAAATAAAGTTGTGCATTACAATTTCATTGCATTTCACCTAAAATAAGCTAAGGTAGATAAACAAGTAAAAAGTTAAATCTTTATGTAAATCATATCATTCATATGCCTACAACTTTATGTTGCTTTATTTATATGTGGTAATCATCCGAATGAAATAAAGTTGTGCATTACAATTTCATTGCATTTCACCTAAAATAAACTAAGGAAGGCATACAAGTAAATCATTCCTTGTCATCGCAATAAGAACTATACACGACCTCTGCTATACAGATCGTATCATTCATAAAGGCCTCGGAGCTAAATAATATACGTTTAAAAATTACTTTTTAAAGACAACACTTCTAAAGAATCCAGTGTTTCCAATGTTACAGATGTACAATGAATTTCTTATTTTATCATCGAATATTACAAAAATTAATTTTTCAATTTTTTAATATATAAAATTTTTTTCAAAATTATTTATTCTGTCAATTGATTCATGCATTGCCTCCAACTTTACGCAAGTGTGCAAAATTTCAGATCAATTGGATAAGTAGAAGTGTGTTAAATTTCGATTACAAGATTTGTAGCAGACAGACAAACAAGAAGTGAAGTTAAAGAGAAGTGTTGTAAAAAGCTACGAAATTTGTCTTGGAAATTTCTTTAACAATATTTACGTGTGGCTTCATAAAGCTGATGAAACTTGGCCATACTTTACAAATATTAATAGAAATTAATTTTTTATATGCAATTCCGTTATTGAAAGAAACGCAATTCCCTATTTCACATACGGAATTTAATTTTTAATTATAATTCATGACCGACGAAACTGTTACCAAATCATAACTCAAACTTTCACGATACCCCTCACAAAAAATACAACCTTGATAACGAATTCCGTAATAATATTTCAGTGCGGATTTCATTTCATTTCAAAAAAAGTCAAGAGATCGTAAGTTCATCAGCCAATCATTGACGGCCTTTCAAGCAAAATCCACCAATCATAGACATGAAAATATAGAGCGTAAGTACTTACGTTCACTTAATCAGAGACAAGAAAATAGAGCGTAAGTACTTACGTTCACTTAATCATAGACAAGAAAATAGAGCGTAAGTACTTACGTTCACTTAATCATAGACAAGAAAAGAGAGCGTAAGTACTTACGTTCACTTAGCGAGTTTTGAAAGTATGGCCCCTGGTCACTATTTCAGACGCATAGACGCCAAAATACCGTTGATGATTGTCGAGTAATGAACGTCGCATGTGTCGTGCTCTGAGATTGTTTATCCAATTGCTGATTATGTATGCACAATGCTTGTGCAGGGCCATATTGAAAATAAACATTAGTTGTACGTGGGTGGTAATTAGCAATCATTTATCATGGTAATGGTTACGTAAACCTTGGACAGCTGCTTCAATCAAAGTGGCTTCTTTGCAATACAACTATATAGATATAAATATTAGTTTGAGATGGCAGAATTTGTTTATTTATACGCGTGCGATTAACGACCAGAGAATTCGTTGATTTAAATTATCAAAGAGTCGGGCAATTCTTCAGACTTCAGATGACGTTGGTAGATCGAAAGGCATATATCAGGAAGTAGTTATTGTTTATTAACGACGTTTCGAATGTAATAAACATTCATTTTCAAGTTACAGAGAGCATTAAATATTGTAATTTTGATGGAAATAAGTACATAATATACGTAAATAGGATACTACAGTAAAATTTGAATCAGAAAATCTTTCAGAAAGAGATAGCAGGCGTCCAATCCGTAGAGACGATGAGGCTAGCCATCTTCGGTCGATTATGTCAGGGGACTGCTTGATGACAATGTCAATTATGTCAATTATGCTATGTCAATTATGCTATGTCAATTATGCTATGTCAATTATGCTTGATGACAATGCTGGTGGGTTCTTTCAGCACAAAGCGAGTTTCTAGGTTCTAGTTTTCATTTTTCAATCAAAAATTATGAATGTTGTAAACCACGTAAAACTGATTCGTCCTGGACATGAATTTTATGATTTTTCAATTTTTTTTCAACTGAAAGTGGAAGTTTACAAAAGCTCTAGAAAGTGGTGGAGGATTAAATAAAAATAAATGTGCACTCTGGTAGAAATTGTTCCTGAATGCAAGTTTTTATGATAATTCATAATATAACAAAAATTCTGAATTTTCAAAATCTCTCAAAGGCACAATTTCCACAGCTAAGATTTATTTCTGGCCAACTTCTCTGATTTCCCCATGCTTGATGCAAACAAACAGCATCTTGCATCAGCTGGCCCAAAGAAGGGCAAATAGACTGAACACGTCCAACGTTACATCCGGGACCAGAGGGCGGGGTGACTTGCCTATATAGCGACGACTCGGAGACGGAGGAAGACGAAGGCGGCGCATCAGCGTGACCGTGGACTATAAGAAGTCCTAAATTCATCATAAGGTTATAAGGTCGTAGTATAAATCATTCAAAGTGCTACTTGCTATAATGTGTTTAAAACGGCATTCCAATCGCCTCTTCTGTCTTAGATAGAGGTAATGAACAGGATGATTCAGATAGCGGGGCACGTTCACGAATTAAATAACGATATTTCAGTTGTCAATAACGGCGATTCAATAACGATATTTCAGTTGTCAATAACGACAATTCAATAACGATATTTCAGTTGTCAATAACGACAATTCAATAACGATATTTCAGTTGTCAATAACGACAATTCAATAACGATATTTCAGTTGTCAATAACGACAATTCAATAACGATATTTCAGTTGTCAATAACGACAATTCAATAACGATATTTCAGTTGTCAATAACGACAATTCAATAACGATATTTCTCTTGTCAATAACGACAATTCAATAACGATATTTCAGTTGTCAATAACTACAATTCAATAACGATATTTCAGTTGTCAATAACGACAATTCAATAACGATATTTCAGTTGTCAATAACGACAATTCAATAACGATATTTCAGTTGTCAATAACGACAATTCAATAACGATATTTCAGTTGTCAATAACGACAACAGGACCCGATATTCTTCAAGCCTGTACAACTTTAATCTTTACGGACTTTTTCGCTTGAAAATCACGAGCACAAAACCGAGTTCTCAACCTACCAGCTTATTGACCAGCCGTATTTTCGAAACTTCCAATGACGCTGGCTGGCGATATGCTAGAAAATATGACAAAAATATAACTCAGTACTCACTGCAGTGAGTGCCAGAGAGCGCATTTTCTCGTCGACGAAAACTTGAGGTCACGGACGGACGGACAGACGGACAGACGGACGGACAGACAGACAGACGGACATGGCGAGCACAATAGTGCATTTTTTTCCATAAATGAGGAAATGCACTAAAAACCGCAAATGTTAGTTTTTTCGAATGGAAATTAATTGAATAACCTGGATTAATCCGAGTTGACAGTTCAAATTTCTACATATCAGTATACAAAAATTTGAAGTTTAATTTGAACTCGTGGGCCACTTGGTGCAATTGCCTTAATTGTAAGATTCATCACTTGGAAAGGATGTGGCAGTTTACATATTTAAAACTATTTAACTACCAAAAAAGATATCTCTTAACATAATGAGAAATCCAGTGTGGGAGAATTGTATTGCGAATTTAGTGTG